AAAAACACTTTCTGAAGGGAGTGGGAAGTTCTCTAGAAGTACAAAGAGAAGACTGTGAAGCTCTTCTGCTGGAATGAAAGCCTACCACACTGGATGATGACGTTTTCCCACCAGCATGGTTTCTTCCTTTAAGCACTTCACAGATGGGTTTTTTAAAAAAAAAAATGAAAAAGAAAAAGTGCAACATGCAGAAATGTTTAAAATTAACATTAAATAAATCAACGATCATTATAGCCTCAATTCTCATACCACAAAATAATATCACTATGTTGACTTTCATATGTTCAACACAACACATGAACAGTCACTTATACATTTACTTAAATGTTTTCCAGTGTATCTAAAATATAATAGGTACTCATTATTATTTTTCAAATGATTGGGCATAGAAATGGGTGAGTGAATTGCCTCAAAGCAAGGCCAAGGCCTTGCATATCTTTGTTAGGCACGTAGTATGGCACAAAGTGGGCACCAACTGTTTAGAATATAAAAGCTTTGCCATGCTGCTGTGCATATGTCCTTAATGAAGTTCTATTGTTAAACTTAGCCCAGGTTGTCACAAATCAGCCTTTGATCAAAATAATTGTCTCATACTGATTCATTACTTGTGTTCTCTTTCCCAAATCCAATTATTGGAGCTGTTTGCCTCAATCACTAAAAAGTAAGGTCCTTTGGTTATTGTTCCAGACTCACTCTTCACTTCTTAGTTAAAACTACTCTGTAACCTTCATTCCCCTTAACTAAGCACTGAGTTTCCCTAGTTTTAGTCTTTCCTTTCTAGTATGGGTTTGAAGGGGATCAGATCATGGCCCCCAAAATACGTTATGTTGGCGTAAGTATTATTTTGAGCTATTTTTGAGGAAGAATTCTCTGCCTCTCCCCTTTCTGCTTAAAAGCAAGGTATAAATTTCCCTTTATAAAGATGACATTAATTTCCATTTGTAAATGTGTTCCATTCTCCCATCTTTGGTGGTTAAGAGTCATTCTCCTCTTCCTGGTATGGGAGATTAATCTGCATAACAATCCTTATCTACCATATATTTCTAGTCACCTTTCCACAATTTACCACCCCTAGGAGCCCACTCCTGCATCCCTTTTCCTTTGTCTAGTCACTTCTTCAGAATTCATCACCTTTTGTTAATATGGTATATAAGCCCCCAAGTCTAAAGACTTCTTTAGGGCGTTCACTTCTTTTCTGTGAAGCTCTCATGCATGTAGAAATACTAATAAAATTTGTATGACTTTTGTCCTGTTAATCTATCTTTTGTCAGTTTAATTTGCAGGTGCCCATTACAGAACTTAAGAGAAGGGGAAATTTTTTTCTCCCCTACAGATTCTAGGAGTAATTCCTAAGTAAGAATTTTTGCTCTCTCATAGTCAATTCACACTAAAGCTTTATGCCATTCATTTAGTAATTATTTACTCATTAAAAAAATGCACATTGATCAATGACTTTGTGTCTGGCAAGATGCTGAGAGACTAGAGATACAAAATTTAACAAGAAATGGTCCTTGACCTTGAGAAGTGAAGGACAGAAGTGAAAGAGATATATAAATAAATAAATAAATGGCCCAAGGGAGGGAGAAGTATTTCTACTTGGAGGCAAAAGAAAGGCTTCATGGAGGAGAAAGCCCTTACTTAGAGCAAGCTCAGAAGATGACTGGATATTTCCCAAGTTGGTAGGAACAGATGGGAGAAGGGGTGCCTTGTAGGCATAGGGAGCCATGCTTGGAGTGCTTGCAGCTAGGGAGCTACAAATAACTTAGCATTCCTTTATCCTTTACATAAGTAAGAGATCGTGTAGCCTGGTGTTTAAGAGTGTGGAGCCTGGGGCCTGAATCAAATCTCATCTCCTCCACTGCTTACCAGATACATGACTTTGGTGGGGTCATTTCACCTGTTGGGCTTTAAGTAAAATGGAGATAATTAATAAATATACCCATATCATAAGATTGGTGTAAGAATTAGGTAATCAAGGCATTTAGAACTGTTGCTGGCACTATAAAGTATTAGCTATTATTTATATATTTATTTTCATTTTATCTATTCTGGACATTTATAAAATATAATCATACTTTTTATAATTTTCTGAGACCTTTTTAAAATCAATATTTCATCTTTGAAACTCATCCATACTGAGGCATATATCTATAGTTTATTAATTTCCTTTCCTAGTTAACATATCATGTATGCATGCCTTATCTCTCTAAGGTGATTATGAACTTTGGAGAGTAAGCATCGTGTTTTCTATATTCCCTACTCTAAAGGGGTTCTTGGTGGCATTTGTGATTTGTTCTTTGAGATTCTTAGCTGTGTTTTGAAGGTATCTAAATTGGAGAAAAGGAGACTGAGAGGAACTTCCTATTTGAAGGTATCTAAATTGAAGGAGAGGAGACTGAGAGGAACTTCCTAAGTGTTATTGAGATTCTGTAGAAAGCATGATGGCTGCTCATTCTCTATCCCCACCAAGGCTTCAAACAGAGAAATACCCTATGCTGCCCCGTGAGGGATTTAGTTTGATAATTATAACTGGGTGTTTACTGTGCACCATACACTGTGTCAATTTCTTTATATAAATTATCCTATTTAATCCTCCAAACAAGCCAGATGAGGAAGTGTATTAGTTTGCTAAGGCTGCCATAACAACATACCGCAAACTGGGTGGCCAACAACAGAGGTTTATTGCAACACAGTTCTGGAGGCCGGAAGTCCAAGATCAAGGTGTTGGCAGGACTGGTTCCTTCTGAGGGATGTGAGGGAGAAACCATTCCAGGCCTCTCCCCTAGCTTCTGGTGGTTTACTGGCAATCTTTGACGTCCTTTGGCTTGTGGATCTCTGCCTTCACCTTCATATGGTGTTCTCCATGTGTATGTCTTTGTCTAAGTCTCCCCTTTTTATGAGGAAACCAGTCATATCAGATTAAGGACCCACCCTACTCCACTATGGTATAAGCTCATCTTAACTAATTTTATCTTCAATGATCCTATTTCCAAATAAGGTCTCATTCTGAGGTACCAGGGTTAGGACTTTGACATATAAATTTTGATGGGGGACACTATTCCACCCATTTAAAGATTAGAAAATAGGCCTAGAGAGGTTATGTTAACTTATTCAAGCAGAATGGCTGGGTCCCAGGTTCCATGGTAACCTGGTGCTTCCAAGGTGGGGAGGAGGGATGTGGTACAGATCCCGAGGAGTCACTGGGATGCCACAGTGGCCCAGATTGTCCACGGCCGCTCCCAAAAGCTGTCTACACAAGAGGTAATGAAGTTAGCTCCCAGGTGGTCAGATCTGCCACTCATTAGCTATGTGGTCTTAGGAAAGTTATTTGAGCTCTCAGAGCCCCCATTGCTTCGTCTGTAAAATGGGATGATAGGATGAGGTTGTGAAGATTAAAGGACACAGGACAATGGTTGAGAAATGTAGTGGTGATCAAAATTAACACCCATCCTCTCATCCCAACCACACAAGATGGAGCTCTAGTCCACATACAGGTTCCCTACATTTGGGCCCATTTTAAATACTTTGATTTATCTAATTAAGTGCAACCCTTGACCAGAAAAATATCATTTGAGTGGAGATCAGGGTAAGGGGCGATAGAAGGGTCAGAAAGGAGGGATGCAAAGGAGAACGAGAGAAACAGACAGCTCCAGCTGTCCGCCACTCAGCTATGGGGTGCTGTTGGCATTTGGGGTTGGATAGTTCTTCCTTTGAATTACTGTCACACACATTACAGGAAGCTTGCCATCTCTGGCCACTGGGCACCAAGACAATAACCCCCAGTCGTGCAACCCAAAATGCCCCACACATTTCCAAGCTCTCCCCCTAAAGATGGTTCCAGCCCTGGTTGAGAGCGATTAGAGATCCCAGCAGGACCCAGGCTTTACACCGTCTTTGGGAACACCCATAACTACCAGTGTAGGGATGAACCTACTGTTGGTGCTCAATTGACCCTTAGTGACTGATTCTTGAATTCCCCTAGGGTGATCCTTTCTCACTGCTGAACTTCTCCAGCCCCATTATCCATACTCTTCTCTGGGAGAAACTGGTGCAATTTCAGGGGTTCAGTTACAGAAGGAGGGGACAGTTTCTCAGCTTATGGGGTAGCACTGGGAGTCTCTTCAAAACCACGCAGTAAATAAAGTGGCAAAAACAAATGCCTTAAGTCAACAGCTCCTCCCTGTCATCTCCATTTGAATTTTCTAAGCTTCTGACTGCCTGAGAGATTAACACAAAAGGAAAGATCTGGGAAACCCCCAAGTGAAGTGTCAGTCCCACTGAGAGAGATTCGTGTTTGCACAGCCATCCAGAATTTAACACACTTTGTGTATCTCAGTATGGTGATTCCAGCCACTGGTACTCATGTGGAAGCCCAATGATTACTCCTGTTGGGAAGAGCCGCTTTTTGAATTTCATTTTCTTCTTTCTCCCTTAATGATAAAGTCTGAAGTATCGGGCTGAGTAAATGTTGTGAAATGGAAATTGTTTGACCCAAACCCGTTATCTATTCGTTGACTATAGATTTAATTGAGCCACTGAAAGCCTAGATCTATGTTACATTGGTTTAAATGCTGTAAAGTTTCCAATCCTCAAATGCAAGAGGTTTGCAAAAAAGCAAAATGCAGCTATTACTGAGTGAAATGAAAACTCTGTCCTCCGAATGCCTGCTTTGGTTTAACATAGTGGCTTGCTTTACTTTCAGATAAATTGTCATTGAAGCAAAACCAAGATATGAGAAATGTGAACTCCCTCTCTTTCAACACTGCCCATTGTGTTCAAATTCATAAGCAAGAAAGTTAAGAGCCCACCTTCCTCCCTGAGAAAATATGAAAGTTGTCTCTTTGAAATAGAATTCATTGCACTCCGACTTTGAGTGATATCTCTGTTCAGATTCAACAGGATCCACAGCCCCCTTCCAAAGAGTTTTTTTCTTCTCAGGGGTGAGAATTACCCCACCTGGGATTCACTCTTCAAAAGGCTCAAGAAGCCTATTCATATGAATGAAACTGCTCTCTTCAGGGCAGATGCGGAAGCTGCCCTCCCCAGGGCTTGGGCAACCCAAGGAAAGGAAATCACCTCGGTCGGTCGGTAGAGTGGCTGCTGGCACTGCTGGGGCTGCACCTGCCGTCTGTGCTTCTGTCCTCCTCAAAATGCAGTTTCTTGATGCTGAGGAGCTCCCGGTCGATGAAGAGGATGATGTTTTTGGTGAAGGTAAACTCATCCTTTTGGCAGGAGCCATTCCGATCTGCTTTGCTTTGTTTTGACACTAGTGGAAAACTTATGCCTGGCCTGGGCAAAAACTTGAGTGTTTTGAAATGAGGAAAGTGAAACATCCTGAATGAGATAGTGGCTGCCGGTATCAATTTAGGCCTTGAAGGAATACAAGGCAAGGGGTGGGAAAGGGAGTTGCGTGGTTCCTCCAAATACTTTTTTTTTAAAAAATCATGACTAGATGAAGGCTTAGGTCGGAAAATAATAGGAGATTTTTTTCCTTGTCCCTCTTCTGTGCTATCTCCTGTCTTAACACCTTAAGGGAAGCCTGTCATAGCGCTTCGCACACAGCAGGGCTGCTAGGGTGGGAGTGGGACCAAATGGACCAGGAAGGGTTCTCCGTGGGACCATATTGCTTTAATCTGCACTTCCCGTGTCTCTCTCTCTCTCTCTCTCTCTCTCTCTCTCTCTCTCTCTCTCTCTCTCTTACTCTTCATCACACTTATTTGACATTTCAACTCTCCATTCCCCTTCGCCTTTCCTTTTCTCCCGGGCAGGGATGCTGCAGCCCTGGCACCCCTTAGTTTTCCACTCTCACTTCACTGCTCTTCCCTGAGTTGACCTGTGCAGTGGGATTTGACTATCCAGGTTGCAATTTGAAATGACTCATCTAATAATTGAATAATTGATGTCTTGTTCATTCTGCCTATGAGACTGGGCCACAGGCAAGAGCTTTTATAGAATGTGGACCTGCCCAAATAAATGGGAATCTGGACTCAAGGACCTCAGGAATTTGGTTATCTTCCATAGGAAACTATGTCTAGTAATTTTTTTTAAAAAAAACTCTTATCAAGTAATTTTTTAAAGGAGCAGTAGTAAGGAATGTGTGATTACCCAGGTAATTTAATTTGTTAAAAAAAATTAAGGAGTATCACATAATAAGAATCTCTCATAATCAAGTCATCTAGAATGTAACCACTGTTAATGTTTTGATATCTGTGTTTCCATTATTTTGTGCTACCCACAGAAATATTTAAAATCATAGTTTGGGTTTTTATCACAACTTCAATCAGTTTGAAGAATATCTACTTGAGCTCCACTGCTGTTTACCAAATTATCAAGCTGTTGCTTTACTTTGCTGACAGGCATTTAGAGCCACCATTACTTTGAAGTTTGATCTTGGGCCTCATTCTTCAATTTTCTTTTCTACTTGAAGATGTTTTCTCTGGTTATACCTACTTAGATACTAACTCCCTTTAGGATTTGAAAAATGTTCACAACTATGAAGATAAGCCTAGACTAGACAATTTGGTAATTATTCACCCACCCCTCTCTCCAGGAATGACATTCCAACATGCCCAGCCCACATTTCTTTGCCCAAAGGTATTTTCGTCTTTGACATCAGCTATGGTGCTAAAGAGCGCCATCTACAGACTGACACACTGCACTCTGGAAAGTGTGTGGCCCCACCCTGAAGAGAAGATTTAAGACAAAGCAGGGCTGGATGAACCTGTAGGGTCTCTCCTCCTGAACTTTCATGATAATCAACATGATTATTTTAACCTCAGTAACCATGGTGTAGAGTCGAGTTGGGAGTCAGACAAGATTCAGATTCAAATTCTGCTTCCTCCTCAGACTACCTGTGCTGCATAACTTCAGTTTCCTCAGTGGTGAAATGGGACAGTAATACCTATTAGGCTGCAGATTATCTTCATAGTGGATTCATCATATTTACGTCACACTTCAATGTGATATGTTTTATCCTTTCCAAATTGATCGTCTCACTTAATTTAATGCCCAAAGATTAAAGAGAAAATCCTTGCAAGACCAACATCCAGTGTATTTTTGTACAGTTTTCGGAGTCATGGCTTATGTTTAACAATTTATGTGAAAGCTTATCCAGCCAATGCCTCATTTTAAGCAAGCTCTGCATAGGGTAAAAGTCAAGAGCTTCAGCTCTGGAGTCACACTGTCTGGACTCTGCCAATTAATTCACTTTGTGACCTTAAGTAGGTTACTTAATCTCTCTAAGCCTCAATTTACTCACCTATAAAATGGAGTATGAACCTCATAGGACTGTGTGCGGATCAAATGCTATTACAGGGAAATGGTTTAGAATAGTGCCTAAAACATGGTCAGTGCTCAATAAATACTAATTCCTACTGTGTTTTTACAAAAATGGGTTTATGGGATAGTGGCTTTATTCACATGTCTGTTTAACCTAGTAGATTATTTATAGAACTTCAGTTTATGAATAACTTTTCAGAGGTTTTATATGGTGGAAACAGCATAGGACAAGTTGTTAGGAGCCTGGCTGGTAGCCTTGCCTCTGCCTCTTTGAGCCTCATTCTTCATCTGAAAAAGATAGTTGATTACACATTTTCTGAAGTCTTATTCTTAAAAACCCCAGCATTCTACTACTTAGTCTTTTCTGCATAGTGACATATATCTACCTAGAAAAATCCATGCTTGTTCTAGGTTTCATCTATGCTTTCAGCCCACTTAACATGCCTGAGAAACAGAAAGCTTTTGGTACAATGAGTTTCCTCTAACATAAAGGGAAGAAAATGCCCAACAGTTTATTATGAAGGCAACTATATTTCCTTGCAATGGACACATTTTTAAAGCTCCCTTTTCCCCTAGAGGAATGCATATTTAGAATGCAGGTTCATTTGGTTAAAAGTATATATAAAATCCACTTAGATACATGGGCCACATAAAGGATCTGAGAAGAAAACAAAATGAATCGTACTCTCAATGTATTTTTTTAACTGTCTTTCTGAGATTCTGTTTGCTTCAGCTATTGTTTTCTGTGGTTAAGGAAAATGTTAAGGTTCATAGAACTAAGAAGCATTGTGTGTAACTTTGCTCTTCTTCTAGAGTAGGGTTGTATATGGATAGAGAGAAAGAGAGAGAAACAGTCATCCACCCACACACCACAAACCCCAATATTTATTCTGTCTCTCTCTCTCTCTCTCTCTCTCTCTCTCACACACACACACACACACACACACACACGCACAACCAAAGTTTGCTTTGCAAACAACATCAACAACATCATCATGTCATTTAGAAAATGGTTACCATCAAGTAGACTTAATCTTTCCGGGGGAAATGATTGATTTGATTATCGAAGTATTGAAAAACCAGTAGATAGAAATTCTTTTCCCCTTGTTGTTTCAAACTTATCAAATTCAAGAGCTTTCAACTGTTTTGTCACTGCGCCATCTTGGCAGTCTGGTGAATGTTGGTGGAAATAACTGGATGGGTAATAATGGTAATGATAACCATAACGATTATGATGATGATAGTGATGATAATTTAAAAAAGAAAAAAAGAAGGACCACTCACTGTGTAGGTCCTTAACCTGCCTTCAAGAAAAACAGAATTCATGTGTAGGAAGAAACGGTTCACCAGGTGGTGGTCAGTCAGTATTTTAGCAGCCAAAATTATTCCTTGGCACATGTTAAAACTGCAGTTGCTTCTTTCCTTAGAACACAAGCCCTCACTGCCTCCATTTTCAGCACTGCTCAGTAATCTGTTGTCAAGCACAATGATTAGAATAATAAAACACCATGAGTTCACAGTGTGTGTGCAAAGTATTTCTCAGACTTTTATATTTCCCGAACACTTACATGCCTTTTAAATCTCGCTTAAAGACCACAAGAAACTGCAAAGCTTTTGCCAGATCTTTGAATGGCCCCCAGAGCTGGCACAGTGCGGCTCAGCATGAGAATACTTCTATCCTAGATGACTATGTCTAGGAAAGTTGTTTCCACCTTCCCAAAGGAGGGGAACTCTCTCAGATGAAGATGAATTGGCAAAAGGAAGTCCACTCAAGCATTAGCTGCCTGTTGCTCTTCAAGAGACCAACAGCTGGTTGGAAAATATGCTACTCACTTTTGAACCAAACCTCTCTCCTTTCCCCAGGCCAAATAAGTTAGCACTTTTTCCCTTTCAAAGGGAACTTCAGCGCAGAGAGAGAAAAAGATAGCAATACACTTATTTAAAAAAATGTAATTAGGATAGATACCTGCTTTTCGTATTTTAATGTAGACTGTTTACAAAACTAAGGTAGTGTTTTATTTAAAAAATAAGTAAATAATTATATAGTATATACTAGTTGTAATCTGGTATATTTTGATACTGTTTCCTGAATTATATTTGCCCCTTCCAAAACTAAAAAAAGCAAAAAGAAGAGAGAAAAGAAGGAAAAGAGATTAAATTAAGATTATGTACAAAACCAATACATACTGGCAGTTCAGGCTGATAAAGTCAGACCCACCACGGAAAAAGTATGAGAAATAGAACATAAAAACGTATGAGCCCTGGCTAGAAAGAGTTGGAGCTTTTGTTTGGTTGGTTATGCCACATTTTATATCACACAAATAAATTCAGGCATTGTTATTTAACTATGTTGAATCTTTCTCAAAAAAATATCTAGAGGTCTCAAGTAAACCCAAGTAATGATATTGGAAAAGGGGCAGAAAGAGGCTGGCCCGGTTTCCCAGATTGAAAAGAACTGGTCACTCTTTGCTTTCACGATTTGCCAAGATTTCTTGGATCAATTTCCACCCCTGGATTCCTGGATAAATGCTTTGATTGGAAGTCGTTTTCCGTCCTTTATTTGTCACAGGGTCTGGAGCAGACACAGACCTCCCCACAGTAATTCATGCCTGTGTGACCTCTGCCTTGGATTACTGTGAAACATTCTCTTCCCATAGATGTCTAGGAAGCTTTCTTTGGCTGGTGCCAAAGAGATGGTGTCATTTCAGGGGCACAAACTAAAATAGCACATTGCACTAAAGCTATGCAGGCTGTCTCACCAACCCACCCCTCTGATTTATGGCCTCTAGTGACCTCAGAGTAACCTACTTAGATCAAGCCAATGCCAAAAGGGTGCCCAATATCACAAGTAAAACATTTTAAATGTTTATTTTAGTATCACTATGAGCAGCCAGTAAAGTCTTAACTTTTTAGGAATAGTGTAAGACATACTA